GGGGGGGGGGGGGGGGGGGGCTAGGCTCTCTGTTTTTGGTTCTCTTGCCTTTAAGTTGCTTTTATTGTGTTTTCTGGGTCAGTTGGGTGTTGTTTTTTTAGAGGGGGTGTTACAGGCCTTCTGTCTGGGCCCAGAATCAACTTAATCCAACTCTATGGGCACTCTCGAAATACCACATATATTTTTGGTCCAAAGGGTAGCTTTAACTTGCTAAGTGAATCATTTTACAACACTGGAAATCTCAAGTATTCCCCTCTGTAGATGTCTGGTTCGATGACATGCTAGACCCTTGTACAAAAAAGATAATAGCATATAACAGGCAAGAAGCCTCCATTTGGCATGAATCCCTGTACCTTCCCAGGAAGGCTGCATCATGGGAGTTTTCTGCTTTTATAGAAGAAACCTCAATTGACACCCCCCCCCCCAAAAAAAACACTATCTTCTGTCTATCCAGAAGCTTTTGCAGCCCCAGGAACCCCTACTTCCATCCTTAGAAACACTAGGCAATCTATCCTTATATATAATTTTCTAAGACAGCAAATCGAATTTAATTTGGATTATACCCACTCACAGTGGAACCTAGGACTGAGTACTCCAACCAACCCAATGGCAAACTGCACTAAAAGCCATTAAACCCATCTCTGTGGATTTATGACTAAGGCTTATCCATCAAAGAACTCTCTTCTAAGTGTACTGGTACCCTACTAAATTTTATCACGTTGGTTTCACTAAGAACGATTCCTGTTCGTGCTGCTGGAAGCCTGGAGCTAACCTCATTCCCATGTTTTGGAAATGCTCTATAATCACAGATTATATCCAGAATCAACTTAATCTAATCCTAGGATGTATACCAACTCTATGGGCACTCTCGAAATACCACATATATTTTTGGTCCAAAGGGTAGCTTTACTTGCTAAATGAATCATTTTACAACACTGGAAATCTCAAGTATTCCCCTCTGTAGATGTCTGGTTCGATGACATGCTAGACCCTTGTACAAAAAAGATAATAGCATATAACAGGCAAGAAGCCTCCATTTGGCATGAATCCCTGTACCTATTTGAGCAGTGATATCACCTCACCTTTATTCCCTGTTTAATTGCATCCATAATGTTGCACCTGACTTTCCTAACCTACACTCCTGTCCTACCTTCCTCTCTCTCTCCTTCCTTCTCTGCTAATAGGACACATGAGGGAAGAGGGAGGGGGTGGGCTATGTGTGGGTTGTTTGCTATGCCTGGTCTGTTCATGGCCCCAGTCTCCAGATTTAAGTATCCATGTTGAGAATTATATTGGTACTGCATTTGCATGGTGCAGTAGTGGAGTCATGGCTTCACTTACTATTCCCATGCTTTTTGGAGCATAGGTAAACATGCAAAGTAAAGGGCTTTTAGAATGCCTACTAGGATCTTCTGCAGCCCTCTCTAGTACTAATGCTCAGGGCTGGAAGCACCACATCTTTTAGACTGATCCTGACTGTGTTTACTCGGATGTAAGTCCCACGGATTTCAACTGGACCCACTTCCTAATAACTGTATTGCAGTATTTGTCTGCATTCTCCTCACAGCACCCTCATGTTGCGTTTCTTCCCATGCGACAGACAGAAAACTGAAGGATTTAATTAATTAATTAATTAATTAATTTTTCACATTTGTATCCTGCCCTCCCCAATGGGCTCAGGGCGGCTAACAAGGGCATGGTAATTAGCCATGCCAAAATTAAAACATAAAAAACATAATAAAAACATCCAACACTTAAAAACAGTGGTGCTCAATCAATTACAGATATCATAAATCCAAGATGGAATCAAGGCAGTTCCAGCAACTCACCCACTGAGCAGCCTCTGGTCACACTCCTCTCCCAGAGCTGGAGAAGGAATCTGAAGGTTTCAGACTCTCAGGGCAGTGATGACAGAGCAGCATCATACACCAACAAGGCAAACACACGAGGCAAACACAATGCACAAAAGAGAGCCTTTACCTTTCCTTTATTGCACACATCCCCAACACCAACACAGGTGAGCTGGAAGAGAGTATTTATTTGATTAATTCTAATGCAAATGGTTACTGGAACAATATAAAGATGGGTGGGAAAGACAGAAAATTAACACTAATGCAAGCAAAAAGTTAAAGTGGTAAGTTCTCAACTGAAATAAATTCAAATCCACACACTCATACACAACAGCCTGCTCCCCACAGCAGTTCCAATGCAGCCCATGCAAAGTGCCCCCGTCCCAAGCAGCCTCCCACAGCACACTGTGCAGCACTCACACACAGAACACCCCCCCCCCCGGAGCTCACACAGAAAGCAGCCTCTTCCCCTCATCCCAGCATACCCTTTGCTTCTGGCCTAGTTTGCAAAAACAGCAGAGAAGGTAAACGTGAACTATTCCACCTCAGACTAAGTCTACAGTCACATGATTGAATTCTGGAAAACAGGTCCCTATACAGAGAAAGTGGTATGTCAAGATAGACCACTCGTTAGTCTGTGCACACCTTACTGCTTTGGGAGTATAATGTCCCAGGTACAATCAGTCTCTACACATAAAAGGATTTCATGTAGCACAGCTAAGACCATGTAATCATGCTTCTGGTCAGAGGAGACAACTTTGGACTGGAGAGACTACCAGTCTGATTTAGTATTAGGGAGGATTGTTTTCTTTATCATTCAGAACCTTATTCTTATGATTTTGAATGCCATTGTTGATGAGCTAAGCCATGAAACAAATGACCACTGGTGTGACCTTCACTGGTTCTCTTGGGTTTCTTGGTGTCTTTCAATACCACTGGTATCCTCCTAAGTCACCTGATTAGGTGAGAATCAGTCACCGCATTGCAGTAGTTTCTGCTCTCATCTCTCAGGTGTCCGGGGACTGGTTCTTGGGATTCTTCAAGGATTAGTCTTGTCCACATACATTTAGTATTTACATGAATCTACTGGGAGAAGTCAACCCGGGATCTGGGGAGAAATGTGTTGAAGACCCCCTGCTCTATATCTCAGTTTTAGCTGAGCCTGCCCTGGACTGGATGTGGAGGAACAAAGTGAAATGTGATGTAAGCAAAACAGATGTCAATGGGGAAGGGCCCAGTTCATCAGGGAGCTGATAGGCCTCCGTGCTGAACAGAGCCACACTCCTTAGGAGGACGACAGCTTGGGAATACTGCTGGATTTCCAGGCAATGGCTGTGGCCTAAGTTGCTAGGGCCCCTCCTAGGAAATTATGCTGGCCAGTGTAACACGCACCTTGATAACCTCTCGGCTGGAGCTAGGCCCGACTCTGAAGACTATCAGGAAATTCAATAATAAGGCTACCCACTTACTTCTGGGAGTCAGCCAAAGGGAGCATGCTATATGTCACTGCTGATAAACTGACTCTCCATTCATCTCCAGGCACAACTCCAAGGGTTGGCTTTAACTTTAAACAGAGTCTGGGCCCAGGGGCTACCTAAGGGAACGCCAACGCGCTTACCAGAATCTCCATATTCTGAGGCAAGGACAAGCTCAGAAATCTCTCTTTCAAATTCCCTCCCTGGGAAGCTCTTACTCATTTTGCAGAAAGTAGTCAAAATATTTTTATATCATCCATGTTTTGGAAGCTGATGCAGATATACTTTTAAAAGCACTGAAATATGGAGCAGAGTTTATTACCTGTAGTGTTATTTTAAACTGGCTTTTAAATTGTCGAACTGCTTAATTGCAAATTCTGTTATTGATGTTAAAACTTTATGACTATTGATTTATCTAAATTCTAATAGCTGTCTCGAGAGCCTGTCAGGACACATGCAGGGATGCAAGAACAAATCAATAAAAAGTAGCATGTAAGAGAACTGTTATGAAGGAGCATCCGGTTATGTGAATCTCTGTCTGCATTTAGGTAATACAATCCAGAATCTATGGTTCCAGGAATGGGCATGAACTGAGAAATGAACCGTGATTTGAACACAAACCAGGCCGGTTTGTGGTTCGTTTGGATCCAGTTCATTTGATCGTACACACACCACACCGTGACTCAGCTGCTTTCAAAGAGGAGGAGGAGATTGGATTTATACCCCGCCCTTCACTACCCAAAGGAGTCTCAGAGCGGCTTACAAACTCCTTTCCCTTCCCCTCCCCACAACAGACACCCTGTGAGGTGGGTGGGGCTGAGAGAACTCTGACACAAACTGCTCTTTTTAAGGACAGCTGTGCCAGAGCTTGTGACTGACCCAAGGTCACATCAGCAGGTGGAAGCGGAGGAGTGGGGAATCAAACCCGGTTCTCCCAGATTAGAGTCCGCGCACTTAACCACTACACCAAACTGGCTCTCCAGAGGAGTTAGTTGCAGTATGAGAGCGGGTTAAGAAGAACTGCTTGCTGCGTGGCTAATTTAAGGGGAGGCTAGAGCTGAGCTTTCCTGGGGGCACCTCCTTTGAGTAGCTATAACTCAAACATCCCAACTCCAATCTTTGCCAAACTTGGAGGGTGGGTGGAGGAGAGCCTGCTGAAGACTCTCTGTGAGTCTGGCATCTCTAACTTGCAAGGGGGTTGTTCTAACACCTCCATAACTCATGAACTGAATGAACCATGAACGGATTCAGGAAATGGGAAACGTTCATGAGAGTTTGTGGTTCGTGTAATCAAATGAACCGTGAGCTACCACGAACCACCATTTCCCCAGGCTGTGCCCATCCCTAGCTGTATGTGAAGAATAGGCCACAGGTGCATCAGAATGCTTTGAACCGAGTCACTCATTTCGACTCCACAAAAGATCTTGTAGACATGGGGATAGTAATCACTACATGTGACTACTTTACAGAGGCCGGCAAGAAATTACAATTCACTTGCCAAGACAGCATTACTTTGGCGGCAATAATTTAATATTGTTCAATCAATGCAGAATGAACTAAGAGAGTGAAAAGAGGAATCATGAAAAGTCAGGACAATCAGATCTCTCCAGGGCAGCTGAAGATCAGAGAGCCATAGGCACACCAGACTAGGGAAAGGAGAAAAGGGGTGTGCAGTTTTTTTTTTCCCCTGGTATTTTTTGATTTTTGGACCTGAAAAAAACTTGGGATTCTCAAAACAACTCAGATACCGATACTGGTAAAGTATTTGGATCCATGATTTTTTGGAAATCCTGAATTGTTTCAGGTCCAATAAACCCAAACGGGAAAATACAGAGAGAAAAAACGCAGCAGCAAAGCTGCTAAAAACAGCTGAGAGGCAGCTCAGCTGGGGCTCTTTTGGGTAGTCTGTCCAAGAACAGCCCACAAACCAGGGCTCAAAAGAGCCCGAAAAAGCCCCTGAGGAGAACTCTCCCTGCGGGCTCAGCTGGGGCTCCTCCTAGGCAGTACCTTTAAACCGGACTGCCCAAAAGAGCCTGCAAAGCAGCTGATCCTGTTCTCCCCACAGGTGCCTCGCTTGCCACAGAATGCTGTCTAGGCAAACTCCTGGTCTGTTGCGTTAGAGGTTAACAGCTTTCTTAAACGTGCTTCTTTCACTGTTTTATCTCCCATGCCATTTATCTTCTCTGTCAGGATGGG